ATAGTAGTAGGGGCGGTCCGACGGGGATGGGCTGCAGACACTTGGTGGAGGCTCAGGGAGGGCAAGACGCTGGGCTTGGCATTTTGCTCCGCTCTGAAGTCCATGCCCCGCATTTCCCGTTCGTTACCCCCCCAGTGGCAGTTGGCCCTGTCCCCGCCGCAGCAGCGTGTTGATCGCAGCCACAGAAAAGCTAGTGGCTGACACAACCCCCCCGTCTTAGTGTGATAAGTCTGGACGTACCTCAGCTTTACTAGGGGACTCCTTATCGTTATCGCGACCAAAAAAAAAAGTTCTGGGGATGCACATCCCGCCGCCGCCTGCTGCTAGCTTTCGCTGAGAAGTCTGCCGAATCCTGCGCGCGAAGCAATATTCTGTCGCAACCATGGTCAAATCCTACTTGAAGTACGAGCCTTCCAAGTCCTTCGGCCTCGTCGCAACCGCCACCTCGAATCTCGTCTGGTCTGCGAGCCCCAAGTCCAGCAGCGGTGCCGGCCAGGCAATCGTTGCCGCTAATGAGGAAGTCCTCACCTGGGACATCAAGAAGGGCGAGCTCCTGAGCCGTTGGAAGGATCCTAACTGCAGGGCCCAAGTCACCGCCATCGCACAGAGCAAGACCGACCCCGACCTGTTCGCCGTCGGCTACGAAGATGGCAGCATCCGAGTGTGGGACAGCAAGATCGCCACCGCCGTGGTGAGCTTCAATGGCCACAAGTCCGCAATCACGATACTGGCCTTCGACAAGGCGGGCGTGCGCCTGGCCAGTGGCGCAAAAGACACAGATGTCATCGTCTGGGACCTGGTCGCTGAGGTGGGCCAGTACAAGCTGCGGGGACACAAGGACCAGATCACTGGGCTGCGCTTCGTCGAGCCTGAGGCCCAAATACAAGAGGCGGATGAGGAGCAGGCTGTTATGGTAGTGGATACCGACGCGGCAGATGGCTTCCTTCTGACAACAGCAAAGGACGCGCTGATCAAGCTCTGGGATCTGACGTCGCGTCACTGCATCGAGACGCACGTCGCGCAGAGCAATGGCGAGTGCTGGGCTCTCGGTGTTTCTCCCGACCTCAGCGGTTGTATCACAGCTGGAAATGACGGCGAGATGAGGGTTTGGGCTCTGGATGTCGCGTCGCTCGCCTCCTCGGCACAACGCGTCGATCTCTCCCAGGCGGTCAATTTCCTGCAAGAAAGGGGAACTCTGCATCGGCAGAGCAAAGAAAGAGCTATCGAGATTATCTTCCACCCGCGTCGCGACTATTTCGCCGTACACGGACTCGAAAAGAATGTGGAGATTTGGAGGATACGGAGCGAATCCGAGGTCAAGAAGGCCCTGGCCAGAAAGCGGAGGAGGAGGAGGGAGAAGCTGGCCGCCACCAGGGGGAAGAAAGCAGATGGTGACGCTGATATGGACGATGCGGAAGAAAAGGCCGACGACGATGCGAAGCCCGACATTTCGGACGTGTTTGCGCAGCACGTCATTGTCAGAACAGCCGGCAAGGTTCGATCCGTCGACTGGGCTACGAGCAAAGCCACCAAGGACCTCCAATTGCTCGTCGGAACAACAAACAACCTGCTCGAGCTCTATACGGTTGTTGGCAAGGATAAGCTAAAGTCCAAAAACGACGTGGCCGACTACAACAGGGCTCTGGCTGTCGAACTTCCAGGACATCGCACAGATATCCGTGCGCTTTCCATCAGTTCCGACGACAAGATGCTTGTTTCTGCGGCAAACGGCTCCCTCAAGATCTGGAATATCCGGACTCAAACCTGCATCCGGACGTTTGAGTGTGGCTACGCTCTTTGCTGCGCTTTCCTGCCCGGTGACAAAGTAGTAATTGTGGGCACCAAAGAGGGAGAGCTCCAACTGTTCGATGTTGCATCGGCAGCATTACTAGAGAGCGTCAATGCTCACGATAGCAGCGCTATTTGGTCTCTACAGGTCCACCCCGATGGCAGGTCTGTCGTGTCAGGCGGCGCTGATAAGACGGCCAAGTTCTGGGACTTCAAAATCGTACAGGAGCAAGTACTGGGCACCACCAGAACAACTCCCAAGCTGAAGCTGGTCCAGTCCAGAATTCTCAAGGTGTCTGATGACATTCTTAGCTTGCGCTTCTCCCCCGACTCGAAGCTGCTCGCCGTCGCACTTCTCGACAGCACCGTCAAGGTTTTCTTTGTAGACTCTTTGAAACTCTACCTCAACCTTTATGGCCACAAGCTTCCCGTTCTCAGCATGGATATCTCATACGATAGCAAATTGATCGTCACGAGTTCTGCAGATAAGAACATCAGAATATGGGGCCTCGACTTTGGTGACTGCCACAAAGCGCTCTTTGGACACCAAGACAGTATTCTGCAAGTTCTGTTTGTCCCCCACAATTCTGAAGGGAACGGGCATCACTTCTTCAGCGCCGGCAAGGACCGGGTAATCAAGTACTGGGACGGCGACAAGTTCGAGCAAATCCAGAGAATCGATGGCCATCACGGTGAGATTTGGGCGCTCGCGGTCAGCCGTGTCGGCAACTTCCTCATCAGCGCAAGTCACGACAAGAGCATCCGGGTATGGGAGGAGACGGACGAGCAGATCTTTTTGGAAGAAGAGAGGGAAAAGGAGATTGAGGAGCTCTACGAGAGCACGCTCACCACATCGCTGGAGCAGGACCCCGACGGCGAGGACGAGAACAGGGAGGTCGGGGCGGCGAGCAAGCAGACGGTCGACACCCTGATGGCAGGAGAGAGGATAGCCGAGGCGCTCGAGCTCGGCATGGCCGACCTCAACGTGGTCAGGGACTGGGAGGAGGCCAAGCTGAACAACCCCAACATGGCGCCGCCGCAGCGGCACACCATCTTCATGGCGCTCGGCAACATCAGCGCCGAGGCATACGTCATGGGCGTGCTCCAGAAGATCAAGGCGTCGGCGCTGCACGACGCGCTCCTTGTCCTCCCCTTCGCGTCGGTCCCGATGCTCTTCACCTTCCTCGATATCTTCACCATGCGGTCCATGAACATACCGCTCACGTGCCGCATCCTCTTCTTCATGCTCAAGACGCACCACAAGCAGATCGTGTCGAGCAAGACGATGCGCGCCATGCTGGACGGCATCAGGATGAACCTGCGGAGGGCGCTCAAGCGCCAGAAGGACGAGATGGGGTACAACATCGCCGCGCTCAGGGTGGTGGGCATGCAGCTCAAGGAGAAGAGCGTCAAGGGGTTTGTGGATGAGAAGTGGGACGAGGAGGACGAGAGCAAGGCGGTGAAGAAGAGGGCCTTTGTGCATGTTTCGTAGAGGACAAATACTACGTACGCAGTTTACTTGGTGTAGCTAGCTTGCGGTGGGGACATCTATTCATTGATGGATGGATGTACATGTAGGCAGGGGGTGGAGTTTAGTTGAATGTTTTGAATCAATGAATCAATATACTAGTAGTATATGTCGTTTGTGTCCTAAAAGAGATCATGTTTTACACCGCATTGATGATTTGATGTTAAAGCTACTGGATGAAATTTCTCTCACTTGTTCTGTTTGCTTGTAAATCTATCTTTTTTGGGGGGGTCTATTATCCTTCTTCGCCATATGAGTTATTAGCAACTAACATGACAGCATGGGCGAGTGCCGGAGTTTGATCTATCGCACTCTCGCTGCATTTTGGCAGATGCAGATACTACGTGCGCAATTGTGACAAAACAAGCAAAGCCGAGAGTGCTTGACTCACCGGGGTGTAAAATTCGGCCTGAGGGGAGAGAGGTACTAGAGTTCCTCGTCCTCTAGCAGCAGCAGGAGAGACTGCAGCAACGGAGGTAGTACTCGGGCCTGGCGGAGGTTGGACAGGTGCTACTGCTCTTGCTCGTAGTTGTCGCGTGCCGCGGTTCGGTGTTGGCTCATGCCCGGGGGGTAACACAGTCCAGGTCGTGAGCGGGAGTGGACTGGCGCGGGGATGGGGGCGGCGATTTGTGGTGGTAGTGTGGGGAGGGGAGGGGGGGAGGAAGGCTATCATCGGCTTGGAGCTGGTGTTGGAGCTGGTCTGGGGGCCAGGGCTGGTGCTAGAGCCGCTACTGGTGCTGATGCTAGTAAACTTAGCGACGCCGAAACTAATAGCTGTTGGCGCTATTGCCGCGGCCGTTATTACCGCTATTACCGTTATTGCCGCCGCTATCGCTATTGCCGCGATCACCGCGAATACCGCTAACGCCATTACCGCCGCTACCGCTATTACCGCGTTGCCGCTATAAACGCCATAAACGCCATTGCTATTATTGCCGCCGCTATCGCTATAACTGCCATTGCCGCGACTACCGTTACCGCCGCTACCGCCATTACCGCCGCTGCCGCCATTACCGCCGCTGCCGCCATTGCCGTTATTGCCGTTATTGCCGCTATTGCCGCTACTGTTACTTTTGTTCTAATTAAGTAGCAGCATCATAGCTATCCTAAGGACCGGTTTCCTCTCGGTTATTATTCTTATTAGCCTCAGCACTAGGAGTAATAATAACATTGACAACAGAAGCAAGCGGCGACGCGGTGGTTGAGGAGAAAGAGCAGCACCTCGATCTTGCGGTTGCGCGTATACGATCGCTCTGGCCGCTTAACAAGCTTCTGTGCTTTCCAACGCGCGGGTTCACTCATGGGCCCAGCTTCAGATGCCGGTCTCTTACGCGGCAAACTATTGACAATATACATCGACTACCGCATCTCGTTCTAGAGAGTCAGCTGCTTCCGCCGCAGATCATCCGCGGGCCTACTACCGGCAGAAAAAGACAAGGGCGAAATGTTCCCTTTTGTGTAGTCAAAAATATTGAAACTCGAATGAAACGTCGCTGCCGTCGTCGCGAAAGCTAAAAGATAGTGAAAGGCAATTGAAGATCGTGGAGCTCCGGAGGTCGTTGGACGCCCGGGCCATGGTGGGTGATGATGTACCTGACACATTTAGCGGTGCGGAGTACGCTGTAAATCATTGATATGTTATGTAAAAAGGAAATAATAAAAGGACAAAAACAGCAAAAGAATATGCCCAATAACAGGATTGAACTGTTGACCTTCGCATTACTTGATAGACACAGGTGACTATTAGTACGACGCTCTAACCAGCTGAGCTAATCGGGCTTGCTGATTTGTTGGGGGACTAGCTCCGTTTTACCCTCTATCATCATGGCTGGGGACCTTCCAAGCCCCGCGATAGAGCCCCGCGATAGAACCCCGCAATCGATTCACTCTGTGGTCCAGTTGGGGCATTCGCGTCTCTCCTTTGTTCCGCAAGCGGGCGTCTATTACACATTCATTCCTATACAACATGCAGGAGGTCGACATTGATATGTCAGACGCAGATCATACTTGAAAGACTCCCGGCCGAAGCGATGAGCTTCGTCATTCTTCCCGCTCCCGTCTTCCCTTTCTCAGCGCGCGTCTATTTGGGACCACCTCACTGGTGGCCGGGCATGCCCCCAGCCGTGGGCCGTGGCCCAGGTGGTCCCCAGTCCCCATTGATGATTGCCAAGCCAATCGCCAATGGCCAGTCGCCACAGCCAGTTCCTGTCGTTCCATGCTCCGCCGCCCAGACTCAGCCCCATCTTTAGCCCACAGCGTCAGCGTCAGCGTTGCCGTGCCGCATCGCCTATGACCATCGGTCCGTCAGGGCCAATCTCCAGCTCACGTCGTCGACAAGCTGAAAATACCTTCAAATGGCTCCAGGCGTGTTTGACTCGGAACCGCAGAGCAAGTGTTCATAACTAGCTATATATCCTTACTGTACAGCGCTTGGCTCTTTGGATACCACAATAGTCTCTAGGTTCTCCCATGCGTCGTTGTTTTCTTTGTCTCTAGTCTTTCACCTTCACTTGTTGGCTACAGACACTATCTCAGTACCTACTACTATCTCATCTCACTCTCGTTGACCTCTGCTTCTCACCATGGGCCTCCGCGATATTCTCAAGAAGAAGCACAGTCTTGACGACGCCGAGCGTCCCGACCCAGACACCGTCGCACGCCTCGCCGCCCCTGAGTTCACCTTTGTGCGCTCCGACACATACACCCAGGAGGTAATCCATCCACCCGCCGGCCTTGCCCACGCCGGAGCCAGTGACGATGCCGACTCGTACCTCACCGTCGACTCCAAGCCCGGCAACAAGTCGCGTCTCAGCCTGGACGTCTTCCGCGGCCGCAACAGCCGTAGCGGCTCCGTATCAAGCAGCAAGAGCATCGGCACTCCTCACCCCGGCGTCGGCGCCCGCCGGCTGTCGCAAAGACTCCACCTGAGCCGGAGTCCAGCGAGCTCAGACTTGGTACCTCAGGACCTTCCCGAGATTGTGGTGCCCGACGGCGGCGTCGAAGACAAGGACGGCACCGAGTCGCAATGGGAGAAGCGCGCCACCATGCTGGCGCGCGAGAACGAGAAGTATCGCAGTCGTCCGAGCACCCCTGAAAAGGGGCCCAGTCAGGACTTTGACTTCTCCCACCTAAGTCTGGGCGATGCTTCAAGTGAGGATGTGCCCAGGCATCCATCCCAGCATCTGTCCCAGCCCGCTCCAGACGTCAAGGTGGTGTCGTCCAAGGCCATCGATGAGAACATACAGGAGGCCATCAAGCTACACGAAGAAGGCAAATTAGAGGAATCCACGGCCTTGTTTGGTCGCCTGGCCGACCCAAAGGGCGCCAACAACCCCCTGAGCCAGGTTTTGTATGGTCTTGCGTTGAGGTATGGGACCCACCCCCCGCTGTATTCCATCAGCGCCATTGTATGGCCGAACCTAAACTGACGTAAACAACAGGCACGGATGGGGATGTGCTCCCAATGCGGCTGCAGCAGTCAACTATTTATCCGCCGCAGCTTCGAACGCGGCCGACATTGAGAACCTCGCTCTGCAAGCCGGTCTCAAGAAAGGAGGAGCTGCAAAGGGCGAGCTTGTCCTGGCCATTTTCGAGCTGGCCAACTGCTTCCGTCACGGTTGGGGAATTCCCAAAGATCCAATCGCCGCAAAACAGGTTAGTTCCCATGCTTTATTCCTTACTGGGGCGTTAAGCTCCGCGAAAGACCAAAACTGTGGCAAAAACTGTGGCAAAGTGTCGTGTTCTGTCGTTATGTGGAGGCTTTGGTCCGCCTCCGAGACCGAGACTGACATCTCTCATCGCAGTACTACGAGACAGCAGCAAATCTAGGGGATACAGGTATGCTCTTGATCTTTGCCAATTTTTTCAGCACATCCTCATCGACCGGATCTAACCGCCTTCTCATTCATCAGACGCAATGAACGAAGTAGCGTGGTGCTATCTTGAAGGATTCGGCACCAAAAAGGACAAGGTCAGTGTCATGTCTGTCTCACAACTGGGTGCCCATTTACCTGTCATGTTCCCTCCAAGCCGTTCTAGGCGCCTTCACCAATTCCCAACATTTTTTTGGCCCATACCGCAGGACAAAAGCAGCCATGTACCAAAAGTAGTTTTTGTTGGCCGAGTGTGGCTGTTGAGCACAAGAGTTGGGCATCAACAGGGCACTCCCGGAAAGCCTAGATTACTATCACATGAGACTGACCACGATCGTTGAACAGTTTGTCGCCGCTAAATACTACCGCCTGGCCGAAAAGAGCGGGAACAAGATAATAGGCAACACCTGGTAAGTCGTGATCCCATTTTTTACTTGCGCACTCTAGGCATTTTCCTTTGCTGCAGGCGTCGCAGCCGCGGCCCAATAACGAAAGTTGGGGCAGCGGGACATGGGCTCTGATGGGTCGTTTGCAAGGCCGTATGTCAGCTGTTGCAGATGACTTTCGCCGCCTGCAGGTTCCCCCAACCACATGTTCCAATCATTTTCTTGTCGCCCTATTTTTGAGCGCTGCACACACACCCTGAGATCTTCAGCAAGCCTGCCATCCAACCACCCACTGGCTTCCACCACAGAGCTTTCCTCGATCTGGCGTCTGTTGCCGATTGGGTGAGCGCGAGGGCCTGGAGACTTCTATTGTGGGAGTGGGATGGGAAGCGATCGTGATGGCAGCTGCAATGTCTCTTTTCTTCCGCTTCTCCCCCCCCCCCTCCCCCGTTCAGCCTATGTCGCGCCAATGGTGTTGCATATACTGATGTTGACGTCGGGTAGGATCTGGAAGGAGAAATACGATCCCGAAAATCGCAAGAAGAAATAGGTTCTCCGTGCGATCGCCCCCAGTGTTGCGATGGACTACGACTGGCTGGCTGGCTCATTGCCCACACACCCTCTATCGATAGATCTGCAATGTCTATTCGTGCCGCTCAAGGCTGTCTGCAAGACTGGTGATCACTGCAGGAGCACTGGGCTCGACGATGGTTGTTTTGGATTAGACTTAGCTCTGCCAGTCAGTCTACCAGAATACAGGACACACCCGTTGGACAAACGTTGCCGCCGTCGCCACACAAACACAAACATATACACACACCCATGGGCGCATACACGCAACTGAGCTTTGTGGAATAAGCTCGCTCGCAGGCTTTTCCGACCTCACAGACGGAAGCGTTTCATGATTTGGATACGTAGGTATTTATCGCGCCACAACGCCTTCGACATACCCCCAGCACAAACCAATAACCATACTTGATACCCTCGTCTTTTGGAGTTGGGAGCATTTGCTTTGGAGCGTCACCGCCGCTCGTCCTGTCCAGCTGATCCCTGTCTATTTTATCTCGTCTCCATCGGGTGAGCTTTCAATGAGCGTCTATGTCTGGGTCTCTCATGACAGCCCAGACTGTTTTCTTTGTTGCCACCCCTTGCCCCCCCCCCCCCAATGTAGGAAATTACGCAATGCGGCCCGAGGTTCGGATGCGATGCACATCTGCGGCCGGCAGGCAGACATGCACGCACTTATTGGCTTCTGTATGTTGTGTCTGGACGGACGGTTTGAGCTGGAGCTGTCAGTGGATTTGATACGACGACAGGAAGCACAGGAAGCGGGAGAGTATGAGACCCACCGTATGGACGAGATCCTTTCTTCTAGGTGTGGATGCAAATTTTGCTGCGGGGAATGACTGAGAGCCCTGCTTGCCCCTACCTACGTACATTCCAACACTTTATGTACTTGGTACCGAGTGTGTGTTTTTTTTATTTGATCGTGATTCCCCGCGATCCGGTTGGACGATGCCGAAAGAACTCCTTGCCTACCTACCTACCTACCTACTTGCCTTCATACGTCCCTGGGTACAGCCGAGCAGTGTTCAGTTCAGACATGTTTGATGATGGGCGCCAGCCGGTTGGTTGGTTGGATGGTGGGGAGTTGCAGTTGATTGTTTATGTGTTTGTTGAAACACCCCCCTTCCCCCCCCCCCATGCTACCGATGCTTATCTACTTATTCTAGCTAGTGGGCACCTTTTTTTTTTTATGGAATCCGTTTTGTTGGGTTGAATAATTTTGAGTCTTTTACCCCACGTGCATCCCAGTGCATCCTATCAACTGGTTTGCTCGCTGGCTTCTGTGGTTATGTTTGTTTGTTTGTTTGTTTATTGGCTTGCCTACCTACTTATTTTCTTGCTATTCAAGTCCTACGTGGGCGTGGGAATGTTGCACCCCCTTGTCAATTTCTCTGTGTTTTTTGTTTTTTTGGTGGCTTACTAGGGCTGGGGAAAGACGGCAAGACCCGAGGGGAGGATCAGCCGGTTTTATGTCTTGCTGTGAGACCTAAAGATCACGCGATAATTCACAGTTACCGGGCTCTGGGGGTCCGGACGGTTGGTGGTGGGTAAGTTTTGAAGTAGTGCACTGTATCACAATGTTGGATCGCCCCTGGGCTCATGTCTCTCCTTTCCTGCTCCGTCTCCGGTTCGGAACGATTTAGCGTGACTCGCAGATCTCTCTTGTCCAGACACCCGCAAACCCAGGGAGTTTGTTTTCGAAACGGAGAGAAATCTGAAGGAACTAAACAACTGATAGTTATTTAGATCGTGAAGTGCAGTGAGACCAAAGTCGGGATTGAGCCAGTTATTTTTTTCCCCTTGCATTCGAGGATCTCACGCATTGCTAACGACAGCTCAGTGGTAATCATCAGTATCCGTCCTCGTAGGTTCCTTTCCACTTGTTATCTTGTGACAAGAATCTTCTCACGGAAACCAAGCGTTTTACTAGAGACAAAGCCCCACCAAAGTCTTG